GAGTCCGAACGGGCTCCATGGCAACTCACAACAACAGGGTTCAGGTAAAATTCAGTATTAACAAGCCCAAGATTCTAACCAAGTTTTCCTGGTGCTTGAATCCTTGTTGTCCTTTGCTGGGCCAGCCCCACCCTGCAGAGCAGTGGGGTAACATTCCATACCCCCAAGGAGTAGGAAACAGACTCTATTTTTATTTCAGTTCCTGGAGGCGGCTTGGACCTTCCTCCCAGCAGTGGGAATGTCACACCTGTTGGATGCCCTGGGGGCTGGAACAAAGTCGATTTTTGACTGTTGTCGTTGGCTGCCTTGAAGCCTGTTCCGACTCACAGTGACCCCACGTGTTAAAGAGTGGAACTGACCTGGTGGCGCAGTGGTTAAGCACTTGACTGCTAACAAAAGATCGGTGGTTTGAACCCATAAGCCAGTTCCAGAGGAGAAAGATGTGGCAGTCTGCTCCCGTAAAGATTTTAGCTTTGAAGATCTATGGAGCATTTCTACTCTATCCTATAGGGTCCTATGAGTTGGATTTGACTCGATGGCAATGGGTTAGGTAATCTTTCCGGAAGCAGATCACCGGGTCTTTCTCCTGTGGAATGGCTGCTTGGGTTCAAACTGATGACTTTTTCTAGTAGCAGCTGAGCGCTTAACAGTTGTGCCACCAGGTCTCCTTTCTCAGCCTAAGAACTCCATCTCATTCCTCCCGGGCTCTGAATTCTAATTCCATTTCTCATCACAAGCAGAGAAACAGAAAGGTATCAGGTTCTAGAGTTCTTGGCTTGGATATGTCTGTAGTCTGGCCTCTCTGAGGTCCCTAGGTGGCACAAACAGTTTGCGATTAACTAGTAATCAAAAGGTTGGTTGGTTCGAATCCAGCCAGCAGTGCTGGGAAAGAAAAGGCCTGTCAATCTGCTTCCATGATAATTACAGCCAAGAAAACCCTATGGGGCAGTTCTACTCTGTAACACATGGGTCACCATGAGTCAGAATCGAGGAGGGTAAATGGGCTTGATTGTTTGTTTGTGGGCTCTCTGACCTCCAAGCCAGAGAGAGAGTCATTTCACACATGTCAAGGAAGGCAAGAGGTAATGATGATACTAATGATTTCTCCTGTTTTACAGAAGGAAAGACAAATGGTAGCTGTTGCTCTTGTTGGATGCCAATGGATTCAACTCGGTGACCCCATATGACAGAGTAGAATTGCTTCAGAGGATTTTCTGGGTTGTAATCTTTACAAGAACAGGTCTTTCTCCCACAGTGGGTGGGTTCGAACTGCCAACCTTTTGGTCACCAGCCCAATGCTCCAGCAGGGCTCCTTGAAGAGTGGCTAAGTGAGGCCAACAAAAACAAATCAGGATTAAGATAGGATAGATCTGATTTTATTTAGAAGAAAGACTATCATAACAGGGAGAACAGTCCCATCTCAGTAATCTGTAAGTGTCTCAAAGTCAAACAGGGCTGGCTTTTTCTTTTACAGGGTAAGGAGAGATAAGCAAAGATTAGCAGAGACTTTTAAGGGGGAAGATGGGCTAGCAAGAGGAAATACCAGTGGGGTCTACCAGGCAAAGTCTGTCACTGGTCAGCTGATCTCGGACAAGTTGATAATGGGGCATGGTCCACTTTTTCCTCTTGCTCAGGCTTGGAGACAAGTAGAGTTCAGGAACCTGTGGGGAGAATGAAAAAGAAAAAACCTTGCTGTCGAGTCAATTTTGGCTTCTAGAAACCCTATAGGACAGAGTAGAACTGCCCCCATAGGGTTTCCAAGGAGCAGCTGGTGGATTTGAACTGCTGACCTTTTGGTTAGCAGCCATAGCTCTTAACCACTACACCAACAAGTCTCTATGTAGGGAGGAGTCTTACTAAAGTTTGTTCCATACCAAAAATGGGCAATTGTGAACTCGTGGCCAGTGGCCTGTGCACAGTCAGACAGCTGATAAGCAGTAGAGCTGGATTGGAACCCAGGTAATTTGCCTTAAAAAACGAGCACATTTAGCAATGTCAATCCTCAGTATATTCCCAGAAGAAGTGAAGGCAGGAACACAAAAAGAAACCTGTACATCAGTGTTCACTGCAGCACCCTCCACAATAGCCAAAAGGTAGAAATAACCAAAATGTCCATCAACGGATTAATGGAAAAACAAAATACGCTACATACACACAGCAGAATACTACTCAGCCATAAAGAGAAATGAAGTCCTGATACCTGCCACAACATGGAGGAATCCTGAAAATAATTTCACTGAGGGAAATAAGTCAGCTGTAAAAGAAAAAATATTGTCTGATCTCACTTATATGAGATAAGGAAATGTAAAGAAACAAAAGATTATTAGTAGTTACCAGCAGTGTGAGGGAGGGGAAAAGGAGAGTTTTTTCTTAGGGGGCATTGAGTTTACGTTAAGGGTGGCACAATGATTTTGAAAAGGACATTGAGAATAGTTGTACAACTTGAAGAATGTAATAAATGTCACTGAATTGTACTTGTATAAATTATTGAGATGGCATAGGTTTTGTTATGTATATTTTCACCACAAAAAAAAAAAAATCAGCATGCCAGTTCACCCTACTAAAATCAGTTAAGGAGCCTGATGGTGCAATAGTTTAAGCATCTGCTGTTAACTGAAAGGTTGGCGGTTCGAACCCACCAGTGGCTCCGCGGGAGAAAGATGTGGCAGTCTGCTTCTGTAAAGATTTATATCCTTGGAAACCCTGCAAGTCGGAATCAACCTGATAGCAATGAGGGTAATGGATGTCCCGGCCACTGTACTGGAAGCTTTAGCTTGCTTCTCATCAAGTAATTCTTCCAGAAACCTTGCAAAGTATTAAAATCCTTCCTTACTTTTGAAGAACTGAATCACAGATACAGATGACCTACCCAACGTGTCCTTTCACCACTTGCTCCCGACTCCATTACGCCATGGACTTGGTCTTGTGACCAACTCCCAGGGCCAAGGGGGAGGGGACCAGCACTTTTTTTTTGGTAATTTTTTTATTGTGGTAAAATATATATAACCGAAAACCTGCCATTTTAACCAACTTCAAATGTACGATTCAATGGTATTAATTACAATCACAATGTTGTGCAACCATCACTATTATCTATTTCCAAAGCTTTTTCATTACTGCAAACAGAAACTCAGTGTCCATGAATGGGGTGAAAATTTTTCTTTTAAATTTTTTATTTTATTTTGTTGTTGTTGTTGAGGATATACACAGCAGTACCTACACCAATTCAATGATTTCTGTAAGTACAATTCAGTGACATTGATTACATTCTTCGAGTTGTGCAACCATTCTCACCTTCCTTTTCTGAGTTGTTCCTCCTCCATCAACATAAGTTCACTGCTCCCTAAGGTTTCTACCTGATCTTTTGAATTGCTGCTATCAATTTTATCCCACATAGACAGATCCTTAAAAAGCATAACGCTCAAGGCAGACATTCTTTTTTTTTTAAATTGTGCTCTAAGTGAAAGTTTACAATTCAAGTTAATTTCCCATACAAAAATTTATACACACATTGTTATGTGACCCCAGTTGCTCTCCCTATACTGTGATAGCACACTTCTCCTTTCTACCTCTGATTTCCCATGTCCATTCAACCAGCTCCTGACCCTCTCTGCCTTCTCATCTCGCCTCTGGACAGGAGCTGCCCATTTACACTCAGGTATCTACTTGAGCTAAGAAGCACACTTTTCATGAGTATCATTTTTATGTCCCATAGTCCAGTCTAATCTTTGTCTGAAGAGTTGGCCTTGGGAATGGTTTGGTTTTAGTTTTGGACTAACAGATTACTGGGGCCATGTCTTCCGGGTTCCCTCCAGTCTCAGTCAAACCATTAAGTCTGGTCTTTTTACTAGAATTTGAGTTCTGCACCCCACTTTTCTTCTGCTCCTTCAAGGACTCTCTGTTCCCTGTCAGGGCGGTCATTGGTGGCAGCCAGGCACCTTCTAGTTCTTCCGGTCTCAGGCTGGTGGAGTCTCTGGTTTATGTGGCCCTTTTGTCTCTTGGGCTAATATTTTCTATGTGTCTTTGGTGTTCTTCATTCTCCTTCGCTTCAAGTGGGTTGGGACCAATTGATGCATCTTGGATGGCCACTCACTAGCTTTTAAGACCCCAGATGCCACTCAACAAAGTGGGATGCAGAACATTTTCTTAATACACTTTGCTATGCCAATTGACCTAGATGTCCCCTAAAACCATAGTCCCCAGACCCCTGCCCCTGCTACCTGTCCCTTGAAACGTTTGGTTGTATTCAGGAAACTTCTTAGCTTTTGGTTTAGTCCTGTTGTGCTGACTTTCCCTGTAGTGTGTGCTGTCCTTGCATACACCTAAGATAATTCTTGTCTACTATCTAGTTAGTGAATATCCCTCTCCCTCCCTCCCCACCCTCATAACCGTCAAAGAATGTTTTCTTCTGTGTTTCAACCTTTTCTTGAGTTCTTATAATAGTGGTCTTATACAATATTTGTCCTTTTGCAACTGCCTAAATTCACTCAGCATAATGCCTTCCAGATTCTTCCATGTTATGTTTCACGGATTCATCATTGTTCTTTATCATTGCATAGTACTCCACTGTGTGTATGTACTGTAATTTCTTTATCCATTCGTCTGTTGATGGGCACCTAGGTTGTTTCCATCTTTTTTGCTATCATGAACAATGCAGCAATGAACATGGGTGTACAGCTCTTATTTATCCAGGATATATTCCAAGGAATGGGATTGCTAGATAGTATGGTACTTCTATTTCTAGCTTTTTAAGGAAGCACCAAATCGTAATTTCCAAAGTGGTCATACCATTTTACATTCCCACCAGCAGTGTCAAAGCAGACATTCTTGACTAGTTAAACTAAACTATTGCTTGGTTTTAAGAGGACTACAGGGGATATTTTTGGTTTAAAATTTAAAGATTATCTGAGGGCAATAGTTTTGGTGGTTCAAGATGAACATTCTTGATGTTTCTGTCTTGCAGATTTTAGTGGATCTTAGCATACTCAGCTCTGTCTAGGATGCTGTGGCAAAAAGTTCGCCAATTTGGCCAGAAGTTGGTCCGCAGGCGCCCCCTGGAGGCAAGAAAGGGGTCTGAGAGTGTCCTGGCCCGTTGCCTGTCCACAATGGATCTGGTGGCCCTGGGTGTGGGCAGTACCCTGGGAGCAGGCGTGTACGTCCTGGCTGGTGAAGTGGCCAGGGACAAAGCTGGACCAGCGATCGTCATCTGCTTCTTAGTGGCCGCCCTGTCTACTATGTTGGCTGGGCTCTGCTATGCGGAGTTTGGGGCCCGGGTCCCCTGCTCTGGTTCAGCATATCTCTACAGCTATGTCACAGTGGGTGAACTGTGGGCCTTCACCACTGGCTGGAACCTCATACTCTCCTATGTCATTGGTGAGATGCTGGGGCAGAGGGGTAGGTATGGGGGAAACTACAGACCTGGGGCCAAGAGATAGCTCCCCAGACGGCACAAATAGTGTGTGCTCAGCTACTAACCTAAAGGTTGCTGGTTTCAACCCACCTTGAGGTGCTGCGAAAGAAAGACTGGTGATCTCCTTCCAAAAGATTACAGCCAAGAAAACCCTATCGAGCACCGTTCACTCTGTAACACATGGGCTTGCCATGGGTCAGAATCAACTCAACAACAACTGGTTTTTTAGGGTGAAGAGAACGGGGGACAATTGGAGAAGTTGGAGGGTTCTTCATTCGTAAACACTTTGTTATCAACTTTGAAAGGGGATAGTGGTGGGGAGAAGTCCCCAAAACATCATTCTACTCAATTCTGTCCTGTCTTCCTTAATGAACAAAAAAACTGAGACGGAAACAGGAATTGTAGGAAGTGGGGGAGAGTTCTTGTGGGCAAGGGAGACACTTGTTCTACGAGGCTCACTTTCTCCCGGTTTTGAAGTCTTTGCTCAGCTGTCACCTTTGTAAGATTTTTCCTGACGACCCAATTTAAGGAGTCCGTGGGAGGTGCAAACTTTAAGCATTAAGTGCTTTATTGCTAGCCGAAAGATTGGTGATTCGAAGCCACACAGAGGTGCCTTAGTTATGTAAGACAGGTCTGACGATCTGCTTCCGAAAGGTCACAGCCTTGAAAACCTTGTGGAGCACAGTTCTACTCTGCACACATGGGGTCGCCATGAGTTGGAGTCAAGTTGACTCTACGGCAACTGTGTGTGGCTTATAGAAAGCCCCAGTGCCAAGCACTTTGTATGCCTTCTTACTGAACCCTCACAATCTTGCCAGGGGAAAGTGTTATTATCATTCTCATTCATCAGAGCAGGAAGCTGATGGCCAGAAAGGAGGAAGTGAGTTGGCCTGGGTCATCTAGCCTGGAAGGGGCAGAGCCAGGGCAAAACTCACTTATCCCATGTTCTCAACCCAGCTCGCAGCCCTTCAACAACGCCTACCCAGTTCTGGGCAAGGCAGGCCCCAATGGAGAGTTAGGGACATGTTACCATCATTCCTGCCCCTTAGAAGCTTCCAAACCAATTGGGTCAGATAATATAGTGAGGCATATGGCATACCTCAGGAGTCTCTGGGTTATACAAATGGTTAATGTGCTCAACTAGTAGCCCAAAGGTTGGTGGTTCAAACCCACACAAAGGTACCTCAGAAGACAGTCCTGGCAATCTGCTTCTGAAAGCTCACAGCCTTGAAAAACCTATGGAGTGCAGTTCTAGTCTGTACACATGGGGTCACAATGAGTCCGAGTTGACTTGATGGCAACTAACAACAAAAACAACCACATTTAAAATTTCAACTCTGATCTGGATCTCCCCATCCTGCTCCCCTGTTTGTCTTTCCCTCCATAGCATTTATCTCCTTCTAACATACTAAAGGAACTCCTGGGTGGTACAAATCTTTAAGCGGTAGGCTAGTAACCAACAGGTTTGCGGTTCAGATCCACCCACAGGTGCCTCAGAAGAAAGGCCTGGAGATCTGCTTCCAAAAAACCAGCCGTTGAAAACCCTGTGGATCACAGTTCTACTCTGACGCATGGGGTCGCCATGAGTCAGAGTTGACTCGAGGGCAACTGATTTTGTTTTGTTTTTTAAACATACTAAATAGTTTACTAATTTGTTGACCATGTGCTCCCCTCACCCACCGTGAAAACAGACTCTTTTTGAGATTAGGTATTTAGTAGGTTTGTTTCAATAATATAGTTCATGTGACAGAGTGTTGTTGTTGGGGGTTGTCGAATCCATTTTTGCCTCACAGTGACCTCATATGACAGAGTAGAACTGCCCCATAGAGTTTTCTAGGCTGTAATCTTCATGGGAGCAGATTGCCGGGTCTTTTTCCCATGGAGCTGCTTGGTGGGTTTGAACCACCAACCTTTCAGTTAGTAGCCAAGTGCTTAACCACTGTGCCACCAGGGCTCCTTTGTCTCATAGTTGAGGTTCAATTAATGTTTATAAATGAATGAACGTTCCTCCCTTAGGTGCCGCTAGTGTTGCCAGGGCCTGGAGTGCTACCCTGGACAGCCTGATTGGGAACCGCATCTCGCAGGCCCTGCAGGACAGTGTCCCTCTGCAAGTGCCCCATGTCCTGGCCAAGTGTCCAGACTTCTTAGCCCTGAGCCTGGTACTGCTGCTCACTGGTAAGGAAGGGCCAGACATTGGATGGGAAGAAGTGGAGAGCTGGGGTGGGAAAGGCTTGTTGGGTGGTAAAGCTGCTGGGTGGGTTCAAACTGCCAACCTTTTAGTTAGCAGCTCAGCACTTAACCATTGTGCCACCAGGGCTTCTTGGGAAAGGTTGAGGGTGGAGAAAACAGTGGGGAGATCAGAAGCTAGGAAAGAAGGATCTGCAACATGAGAGACAGGAAGGCAAGCCTTAGACCACTGTTGTTCAACCTTTGCTTTGGTGTGGGGGCCTGTCCTGTGTACTGTAGGATGTTTAGCAACATCCTTGGCCTCCACCCACTAGATGTCAATTGTGCCCGCTCTCAAGTAGTGACAACCAAAAATGTCACCATGAATGTATAAACAAAATGTGGTCTATCCATACAATGGAATATTACTCAGTTATAAAGAGAAATGAAGTCCTGATGCGTGCAACAATATGGATGAACCTTGAAAACATCATGCTGAGCAAAATAAATCAGTCGCAAAAGGACAAATACTGTATGATCTCACTTATATGAAATAAGCAAATATACAGAAACTGAAGATTATTAGTGGTTACCAGGGATGGGAGGGAAGGAGAAAGGGGAAGTTTTTGCTTAGGAGGCATTGGGCTTATGTCAATGGTGGTGGAATGATTTGGAAAAGGATAGCAAGATGGTGGTACAACTTGAGAAATGTTATCAAGTCACTGAATTGTATATATGGAGGTTGTTAAATTGGCGTGTGTTTTGTTGTGTGTATTTTCACCACCATTAAAAAAAAGAAATGTCTCCAGACATTGCTAAATGTCCTTTGGGGAGAAAAATCGCCTCTAGATAAGGAAGGACCACTGACATAGACTGACGAGTTTCTTTCTCTGCACTGAGACCAAAGTTATTTATTTTTTTAAAATTCCATTTTCTCTACAGGTTTACTGGCTCTGGGAGCAAGTGAGTCAGCCCTGGTTACCAAAGTGTTCACAGGCATGAACCTTTTGATTCTCAGCTTTGTCATCCTCTGTGGCTTCATTAAGGGAGATCTGCATAACTGGAAGCTCAGGGAACAGGACTACAACCAGAGCATGCCCGGACCCAATGACACCTCTAGGTTAGGAGGAGCCCGCTTGGCCACAGTAGTAGTGGCTACAGAGCTGGAAATATGGCAGGAAGTGGGGGCATTTGAAGGAGCTATGGTGGTGCAATGGTTAAGCTCTTGGCTGCTAACTGTAAGGCTGGCAGTTTGAACACACCTAGCAGCTCTGAGGAGAAAGACCTAGAGATCTGTTTCCATAAAGACTGTTGTTGTTAGGTGTCGTCTTGCACCATCGTCACAACTGTTGCTATGTTTCAGCCCACTGTTGCAACCACTGTGTCAATACATCTCATTGAGGGTCTTCTTCTTTTTCACTGACCCTCTACTTTACCAAGCATGATGTCCTCCAGGGACTGGTCCCTCCTGATAACATGCATCTGAATTACGGTGTTAGAGAAGAATATTAAATATACCATGGACTGCCAGAAGAATGAACAACTCTGTCTCTGAAGAAGTGTAGCCAGAATGCTCTTTAGAAGCAAGGATGGCAAGACTTACTTTGGACACGTTATCGAGGGACCAGTCCCTGGAGGAGGACATCATACCATAAAGATTTCAGCCAAGAAAACCCGATGGGTCAGTTCTACTCTGTCACATGGTGTTGCTATGAGTTGAAAATCGACTCGACAGCACCTAACAACAACAATAAGGGGGATTTGGGCTGATGGATCCAGATGGTGGTGGTGGTGGGGATGGGAGCCCAGGACTGTGGTATGAACTGAGCAGTCCAGCAGAGAGATCCTGAACACACATCACCCATGTTTCTCATTCCTTCTCTCACTGTAGCTTAGGTCCTCTGGGCTCTGGTGGATTTGTGCCTTTTGGCTTTGAAGGGATTCTCCGCGGAGCAGCTACATGTTTCTTTGCATTTGTTGGTTTTGACTGCATTGCCACTACAGGTAACAATGGTCATTTGGTCTCATCAGGGCTTTGGGCACAGTTTGGGCTGCCAATATCGGGCTGTGTAGATTTGGTAGAAGGCTTACCTGATTGCGGGATGAAAGAGGGAAGATCAGAGCCCTGGTGGCGCAATGGTTAAGCGCTCAGCTGCTAACAGAAAGGCTGACGGTTCTAACCCACCCAGCAGCTCCACAGAAGGACCTGGAGATCTCTCTGTAAAGATTACAGCTTAGGAAACCCAATGAGGCAGTTCTACTCTGTCACATGGTGTCACTATGCCCCTGCAAGAGGGAAGGGGATTTTATGCCTTCACCTCAGTGTGTTTTCCTGAGCCAACACTTTAACGACCATCCTATAGGGGAAGAAGCCCGGAATCCTCAGCGGTCCATCCCCCTGGGCATCGTGTTCTCGATCTTCATCTGCTTTCTGGCGTATTCTGGCATCTCTGCAGCACTCACCCTCATGATGCCTTATTACCAGATCCATCCTGAGAGCCCCTTGCCGGTGGCTTTTCTCCATGTTGGATGGGCCCCTGCCAGATATGTAGTGGCTGTTGGCTCCCTCTGTGCCCTTTCATCCAGGTCAGTGTCAAAAGCTTTTTCCCTGTCTACTGTCAGTGTCAGGTATGCCAGCTCTCAAAATTGTGGGGTGAGAAGAAAAACACCTTTCTCCACATAAGTTAGGGAGTAGAAGTTCCAATCACCAGAAGAGACCTCTTCCTCCACATAGGCTAGTGGGAAGTTCCAGTCACCTCATGCCTTTTTTTTTTTTTAAATAAAAAGCATACACAGCAACACTATAACTTCCACGTTTACAACTCAATAACATTCATTCCATTTTTCATGTTGTGCCACCATTCTCATTATCCTCATCTAAAATATTCCATTTCCACTGTCATAAAGTCAATGTCCCCCAAACAAAAACTTCTTTTCCCCTCCTGTCTATCCCTGGTAACCAATAATAATCTTTGGTTTCTATGTATTTACTTACTTCAAATGAGTGAATTCATACAGTATTTGTCCTTTTGCACCAAACTTATTTCTCTCTCAGCATGATGTTTCAAGGTTCATCCATGTTGTGGCATGCATCAGGACTTCATTTTTCTTTACAGCTGCATAATATTCCATTGTATGTATATGCAGTGCAGTGAAATACTTAACATGGCCCTTTTAGCTATGCATGGTCTTATAACTCTCACACAATGATTGGGTGAGACTATGCAAATAAGATAATTATGGCCCACCAAGGGTATTGGTCAGTTTTACTATCCTGCTAGGCTTAAAGGAGAGCCAATCTCAGAGCAGAGGGGGATCCCCACTACCACCAGAAAGGAAAAGCCAGGAGTGGAGCACGTCCTTTGCACTCAAGGTCCCTGTGCTGAGAACCTCCTAGATCCAGGATACACAGTGATCTGTAACACTGGAGATGGCATGAGATGGTGAGAAATGTTGGCAGCAGAACCAGAAGATTGGTGCTGTGGGCTTCCTGGTCCATGCAGCACGGTAGCTACAAGGGGCATGCCGACCCACAGAGCAAGAAAGCTGACAGCCTTCACGCTAGAGGCTTCCTGGCAGCATAGGGTGCCTCCAGGCACTCATCAATGGAGCCGGGCTTGCTGACCTAAGTAGTGAGAGAGCTGAACATCTTCAGGCAGGAGGGTTCCAGGCGAAGTAGGGTGCTCCTGGGCACTTATTGGTGGAGTTAAGAGCTTTGTAACACTTGCTCCAGCAGAACAGAGGCCAGGCTGAAGCAGGGCCAATGGCTGAGGACTGAGAGAGGACGCCTGTTCTGAAGGGCCCAAGAGGAGCCTGTCCTGAGGGGGCCAAGAGAAGCCTGTCCTCAGGGGGCTGAGAGGAGCCTGCCTCAGGAGACCAAAGGAGCCCTGCAGGTCCGAGAGGAGATGAGAGAGCCATCCTGCATTGAAGAAGTGTGACTTTGCCTACATGCCTTCTGATCCTAATCCTGAGTTGTAGCCTGTTGATCCTGATCCCAAATTGTAACCTATTACTCCCTGTCTTAGGCTGGGTTCTCTAGAGATGGAAAACCAGTAAAGCATATAAATATATAGAGAGACAGATTGATATCAAGGAAACTGCTCATGCGATTGTCCCAAGTCTGCGGATCAGGATAGAGACTTCTCCTGATTCATGTAGCCACAGAGGCTGGTGAACCCAAGATTGGCAGGTCAGAGGGCAGAGCTCTTGCTCACAGGCTGTGAAGACTCACAAATCCCAAGACTGGCAGGTAAGCTGCTAGCTCAAGTCCCAAGAACCGGAGGTCAGATGAACAGGAGGCAGCTGCAGGATCCAGAGCAGGTAAAAGCCAGAATGTCCACTTAGATTCGGATGCAGGCCACATGCCCAAGGAAACTCCCTTTCAACTTATTGGTTACTTACAGCAGATCCCATCATAGTGGTGATCACATAAACACTGAGAATCATGGCCCAGGCAAGTTGACCGACAATCTTAACCATCACAGTCCACCTCTTGTCAACTTGGCACCCGTACACATCTCCTTAAACCATACATAATCTCAGAATAAAGACAATGAGAAAGTCATGCTTGCACCTAACATGATACAGTGAACACATATACAACCAAAAATGCACTAGCCCTGTTTACATCTTATATTTTATAAGTGAAGAAAACAAAAATATTTGATGCACACATACAAAGCAGAAATACTCATTACAATTAGTCTTTGTTTCTGCAACTGGTCCTGTGGCTGAAACTGGTATTTAGAACTATCTTCTTCCTTATTCCCTTTGCCCTCAGCAAGCACCTTAGCTGGTCATGGTTCTTTGCCTGGTGGGGTGACCCAAACCTTCATTCCTGAACAGTCTGGCCATTAGTAGTCATGTCGGAATTGGGTTGCTGTAGTTCTCCATTGACAAATCACAGGGCATGGAAGTACTAAGAGACACCCTAAGGAATCTCATGCATTCCAGACATACTCTTCTTTACTTCCATTATGTAATAGCAATCCAATTTCCTCTTGGTAATCAGGATCAATCTCATCAGCTTGTATGGTAACCCCATTCTTTCCCTGTTGATCCAGAGGCATAAGGAGTCCAAAGTGGCCAGGGGGCATTCTTAGCTTCCAGTTCAATGGAATCAGTGATGTGTCTCCAGGTGGCAGCATTCCTCCCTTTGGAACTAAGACCTCTACAGAGCATAAGGTCACAGGGACAGGAAACAAAAATCTTGGGAATGGGTCACTAGGGGTAATAGTGAGTAGTGCCACAATCTTAACCATCACACTTCCCTAAAACTAAAACCAAACCCAAACTCGTCGACTTGATTCTGATTCATAGTGAACCTGTAAGACAGTAGAATTGCCCCCATAGAGTTTCTGTTATGGATTGAATTGTGTCCCCCAAAAGTGTGTGTCAACTTGGCTAGGCCATGATTCCGAGTATTGTGTGGTTGTCTTCTATTTTGTGATCTGATGATTATCTATGTGCTGTAAATCCTAACCACTATGATGTTAATGAGGCAGGACTCAATCTACAGGTTTAGGTTGTATCTTGACTCAGTCTTTTTTGAGATATAAAAGAGAGTTGAGCAGAGAAGAGAGGGACCTCATACCACCACGAAAGAAACGTCTGGAACAGAGCACATCCTTTGGACCTGGGGTGCCTGCACTGAGAAGCCCCTAGACCAGGGGAAGATTGATGACAAGGACTTTCCTCCAGAACTGACAGAGAAAGCCATCCTCTGGAACTGGTACCCTGAATTTTGACTTCTAGCCTCCTAGACTGTGAGGGAATAAATCTGTTTGTTAAATCCATCCACTTGTGGTACTTTTGTTACAGCAGCACTAGATAACTAAGACAGTTTCCAAGGCTGTAAATCTTCAAGGTAGCAGACTGCCATTTTTCTTTTGCAGAGTGGCTGGTAGGTTTGAACCACTGACCTTTTAGTTAGCTGATGAGCACTTAACCACTGCACCACCAGGGCTCCTGTGTTGCTTCCCTAAAAAACCCCATAATCGCCTTGTCTGAGTTCTGTGTGGCCATTGTAATGGATTATCAAACCCAGCAGAGAAGATAAGAGTGCCATGGGCGGGATGGCAGTTGTCAGAATTGGAAAAAAGAGGTATGTTAGACCTCTGCCTCATAGGAATCAGCTGGGCTGATGTTAGTCTTGATTCTCCCCCCTTGTGAAGTTAGACAAGGTCAGATGCCAATGCCATTTTTACAGTATGTACCAAATTTTGTTTATCCATTCATCTGTTGATGGACATTTAGGTGGTTTCCACCTTTTGGCTATTGTGAAAAGTGCTACAATAAACACTGGTGTAGAGGTTTCTATTTGTGTTCCTGCCTTCACTTATGCTACATATATAACCAGGAGTGGGATTGCTGGGTCACATCATAGTTCTTTGTTCTATTATTGACAAACCACCAAACTGTTTTCAACAGCAGCTGCACAATTTTACATTCCCACCAGCAATGGATGAGGGTTTCAGTTTCTCCATAACCTATCCAACACTTGTTGATTTCCATTCTCTACTATACTAGGCAGTCGTTGGAAACCATATGGGGTAGTTCTACTCTGTCCTACAGGGTCACTATGAGTCGGAATCGACTCGACGGCAACGAGGTTTTTTTTTTTTTTTTTAATGCTTTTGCGTGTCCCCACATGCTTTCTCATTTTCTTCTCTAGCCTCCTAGGTGCCATTTTCCCCATGCCTCGGGTGATCTATGCAATGGCAGAGGATGGACTCCTTTTCCGAAGCCTCGCCCGGATCCATGCCCGAACACATACCCCTGTCATGGCCACCCTGGTCTCTGGAATCATTGCAGGTGGAAAGATGAAATCTTCATCTTCTTTTATCAATTTCTTTGACTTGGATATTTCCAGTAGTTTCTTACTCCCTACCTTTTTTTTTTTTCCCATTAATTCTAGCACTCATGGCATTCCTCTTTGAGCTCAGTGATCTTGTGGACCTCACGTCAATTGGGACTCTGCTTTCTTACTCTATGGTGGCCTTTTCTGTTTTGGTCCTCAGGTGAGACTCCACTACACCTTTATTGGGGTCTTAGACTCATGGGGATTCCTGGGGGGGGGGGCTAATCCTCCTCCTTTTCTGTCTTCATACCAACTCCTAAGTGTACTATTACACATAGGGTAGGGAATAGGGTGGATTAGGCTGTCTGTTAGCGAATGAGTTGTTGTTAGGTGCCATCAAGTTGATCTTAACTCATAATGAGCCCATGTGACAGAGTAGAACTACCTCATAGGATTTTCCTGGCTATAATCTTTACCCTGGCTGTAATTTTTACTGGAGCAGATCACCAGGTCTTTCTTTTGCAGAGCCACTGGGTGAGTTATAAGTGAATAATATTTCCTTAATACCTTTAATTCAGGTACCAGCCAGACCAGAAATTAAGCAAGAATGAGGCAATGGAGGTGGAAAAATTTGAGATGAAGTCTGTTCCAAGGCCATTGGAATCTGTACCTGAAACTGAAAAGATTCTGTGTTGCTCTATCAATACCACCTCCACTCTGAAATCTGGGCAGATCATCTATGGTTGTGCCTCTCTGCTTGGTGAGCAGTGGGATTTCTCTTTAGAGTGTTCTGAAATTGAAAGGATGGGGTGGGACTGTGTGGTCTTTGGAGCTGAGGAGGCATCTTGGAGAGATAATGGCCCTTTTATACAGGCAGTTTTGGGGTGGGATGTGGCCCAAGATCTTTACATATTTGGCTTCTAGAGTTGGACATGATCTCTCCCAACTTGACCCTTGCAGTCATACTGCTGATGGTCCTGTGTCTGATACTGGCCCAAAGGCACAGGCATCTATTCTCTGGGGACCCAGTTTATACAACAGTGGTTGTGCTGCTGCTGGTGTTCATTACCGTGATCACTTTCATCATTTGGAGGCAGCCCCAGAACTCTACCATGATCCACTTCAAGGTAAGTGATCTTCTTTATGTCCACAAACTACCTGCCTTGAATAAATGGATTCTGCAAGCTCTGAAGTCTAAGAAGTTCATAAACATTTAAAAAATATAACTTATTTTATTTTTGTTGTTGTTAAGAATATACACAGCAGAACATACACCAATTGAACAGTTGCTACACAAACAATTCTGTGACCTTGATTACATTCTTTGAGTTGTGCAACCATTCTCACCCTCCTTTTCGCAGTTGTTCCTCTCCCAGTAACATAAATGCACTGCCCCCTAAGTTTCCTATCTAATGTTTTGAGTTGCTGTTGTCAGTTTGGTCCTATACAGATAAACCTTAAAAGAGCTTGTCTCAGACATCTAGTGCTGCTCCAACAGAAATACCACAAGTGGATGGATTTAGCAAGGAGAAGTTTATTCTCTCACGTCCAGTAGGCTACAAGTCCAAATTCAGGGTATCAGCTCCAGGGGAACACTTTTTTGGTTGGCTCTGGAGGAAGGTCTGTGTCATCAATCTTCCTTTGGTCTGGGAACTTCTTTGTGCAGGAACCTCAGGTCCAAAGGACACGCTCTGCTCCCGGCACTGCTTTCTTGGTGGTATGAGGTTCCCATGTGTCTCTGCTCACTTCTCTCTTTTATATCTCAAAAGAGATTGCATTAAGACACTAATCTTGTCAACCTCATCAGTATAACCTCATCACAGTGACTGATAGAATTTATAACACATGAGGAGATCACATATAATTTCATCATAGTGGTAGAGTTTACAACACATAAGGAAATCACATCAGATAACACAATCATACAATACTGGGAATCATGACCTAGCCAAGGTGCTACACACAATTTTTGGGGGACACAATTCAATCCATGACAGAGCTCAAGGCAGACATTCTTGACTAGTTAAGCAAAACTATTGTTTGGTTTTAAGAAGACTTCAGGGGATATTTTTGGCTTCAGGTTTAAAGATTATCTCAGGGCAACAGATTCAGAGATTTATCCAGCCTCCATGGCTCCAGAAAATCTGGATTCCACTAGAATTTGAAAATCTGTTCTATATTTCACCCCCATTTGATCAGGTTTCTTCTGTAGAATCTTCTCCCCCACCCCGCCTTATTCTATAGAATCTTTGACTAAAATATTCACTAATGGTAGCTGGGCATCATTCAGTTCTTCAGGTCACACAGCAAAGGAGGCAGTTGACTCCACAGGCATTTTTTAGTGGAACAGGAAAAGGGGATATGAGAAAGCCAATGGATCATTCCCTGACCCCTCACTCAGTTCTTTATTAGTTTCATTTTTCAACAGCTGTCTCTTCTGGAACAGATAATGGGATATGAAGAGGCACTGGCCATGAATATTAGATTTAGCCAAAGGGATGTCGTGGGTGATGCTGGCTACAGTGTTCCTAGTGAACTTCTGTAGATAAAAGCTAGTTTGCAGTGGGCGGACATTATAGGTACTGAGAAATAGAACAATGGAGAACAGATGACAGATGCACAGCTTGAGCCAGACTGGAGTGTTCCTTCCCTCCCAAGTAAGGTAAGGTATTTCCCTTCCAGACTTCTGTGATAAGTTTGGGGATTAATTGACTTTGTCCACAGGTCCCCGCTTTGCCTTTCCTCCCACTGGTGAGCATCTTTGTAAATGTTTACTTGATGATGCAGTTGACTTCTGGGACCTGGGCCCGACTCGGAGTCTGGATGGTGATTGGTAAGTGGCATCCTGGGGAAAAGAGGGTCCTTGGGTGACTGAGCCAAATATTCTTACCATCACCATTCCCTAAAACTGTCTCAAACACCATAAGTATGAGGCCTATTGAACATTCGTTAAGTGGGGAGAATGACTACTTTCTCACTTCTTTGCCTCGTTTCCCTACTAGGATTTGCTATATATTTTGGATATGGGATCCGACACAGCCTGAAGAAGTGTGACCAACAGCTGCCAACCTCAAGCTCCCAAACTGTTAATGAAAACATCCCTAGTTCTGAACTGGCCTAAGGATAAAACTAGATACTGTGTGGAATCCCTCCACCACACTGGAAGTTTCTTCCGGCTCAGGGAGTAAAGTTTGGATCTCCATGGAGTGGTGGTGGGAGGGGGTGTGTTTAGAGCCTTCTATACAGCCCCGAAAGTGCATATTCCATAAGTCTACAGCAAGATGAATTTTCACAAATACAATGATGTAGTCAGTACCCAGCCAAAGAGACAGAATCTTACCTACACATAAGAAGCACCTTTTTGGATTTTGTAGGCAGCTAAGAGGTCTCTGGTGTTGTTGTTGATTCTTATTCATAGCGACCCCCCCGTATGTCAGAGTAGAACTGTGCTCTATAGGGTTTTCAAGGCTGAAGAAGCACCTTTTTGGCCCTGCTTCCAGTTACTACCCTCTGAGGTAACCACTAATCTGGTTACAAGCCCTAGCTGAACTCTAAACGCATATTAAACTTGTTGAACTCCAAACACATATGTTAACTCCAAACACATACTGAATTTTTTGTTCAATATGATGTGAGATTCAGCCATGTTGTTTCACTTAGTTGTAGTTCCAGCTCGTGGCTGTTAAGAATAATGCTTTCATGAATTTGGCGGTAAACCAAACCAAATCAGTTGCCATTGAGTTGATTCTGAATCATGGAGACCCCTTGTGTTTCAGAGCAGATCTGTGCTCCACAGGGTCAATTCCGACTCATGGTGACCCTATGTGTTTGGGAGTAGAACTGCGCTCCATAGGGTTTTCAATGGCTGTGATCTTTCAGAAGTTGTTCGTCAGCTCTCTCTTCTCAGGTGCCCCTGGGTAGATATGAACCTCCATACTTTTGGTTAGTAGTTGAGTGGTTGACTGCACCTCCCAGGGACTCTAGGATCAGGAATGACTCAGGATACAGTTTAGTCTGGACAAATTTTTGGCCATGCTTATAGTCAGGTCCCTCCCTTGGCCACTGGCTCTCGGCCTGGTCTCTGTCCTGGAGTTGACAGCTGCTGATTTGCCTGCCTAGGTCCCTGGGTGGCACAAATTGTTTGCGTTCAAACTGTTGTTGTAGTTTGGTGCCGTTGAGTCTATTCTGACTCATAGTGACCCCATTTCACAGAGTAGAACTGCCCCACAGGGCTTCCTATGCTATAACCTTTATGTGAGCAGACCACCAGGTCTTTCTCTTGCAGAGCAGCTGGTGAGTTCGATCTGCCAACCTTTCAGTTATCAGCTGAGTGCTTCACTGTTGCTCCACCAGGGCTCCTAAGAACACGGCAAGGGGGTTATTTAAACAGGGTGGTCAGTGAAGGCCTCTCTGAAGGGGTGCGGATTGAGCAAATACATGAATGAAGTGAGAATATGAAGCATGTAGAGATCTCGTTGGTGCCACTGAGTTGATTCTAAGTCATGGTGACCCCATGTGACAGAGTAGAACTGCTACATAGGATTTTCAAGGCTGTGACCCTTCAGAAGCAGATCGCGAGGCCTGTTTTCCAAGGCATCTCTGGGTGGGTTCGAACTGCCGAACTTCCGGCTAGTAGTCAAGCCCTTAACCATTTGCACCACTGTGGGGACACTATTCTGGTGTCTACTGGCATCGCATTGTGGTTTGACTTTGCATCTCCTTGATGTGTAATGAAGAAGCCCTAGCAGTGCAATGGCTAAGCGCCCTGCTGCTAACTGAAGGGTTGGTGGTTCAAACCCACCAGGTGCTCTGCGCTCTACAGGAGAAAGATGTGGCAGTCTATATTTACAGTCTTGGAAACCCTATGGGCCCTTCTACTCTGTCATACAGGGTTGCTATGAGTTGGAATTGACTCAAGGCAATGGGTTTTTTTGGTTGGATGTGTAATGGTGTTGAGCACATTTTCATTTACTTACTGGACATTTCGGTCTTTTTGGGAGGTGCCTAGTCAAGTCTTTCCCCCTTTTTATTGTTTCATTGTTTTATTTCTGACTTTAGGGAATCTTTATATTTTTCTATGTGAGTCCTTTGTCAGGTGTATATGGAGTGAATATCTTTTCCCAGTCTCTTTCTTGCTTTTCCACTATTTTAATGGTGCAATGGTGTCAGTTGATGAACAGAACTTTGTAACTTTGATGCAGCCGAATTTCTTAACTTTGCATTTTATGTTTAGTGCATTTTGTGTACTAGGAAACCTTTGTCTAACCCAAGGTCGTGAAGAGAATCTCCTATGTTTTCTTCTAGAAGTTTGATAGACTTTTTCTAAACTCACTGATCCACAGATCTTCCTCTTGTAAGAATTCACTAATAGCAACACTAATGGTATTGGCCATAAAAACAACAACAGCTGATATTTATTGAGCTTACACAATGTTCCAGACACACTTTCAAAGAGTTTACACATACCAGAGTCAATCACTCACAACAATAGCAAACTTTGTTAAGCATGATTAACCTCATTTTACAAATAATGCACAGTGGTAATAAGTAGTTTGCTCAGTGTCTCACAGGGAGTAAAGAGGTGGGGATTGTAGCGGTGACAGGCAGAATATGGACCACGACTAAAGGTGTTCCCACATGTGTTACGTTAGCAGGGTGATTCTCTAGAATGAATCAGTTGAAGTTCAACAAGGAATGAACGTACTGGAGTGTTTCTATGCATTCATTAAACTAACATATCCAGTAAAAAAATCATCCATGTGGTGCAATGGATAGCTTTTAGGTGGCCTTTTTCACCATGGTCTTGTAATTCTCACCCAAGTCATTCGGTGGGACTGTGCAAATAAGATAATTGTGGCCCACCAAGGGGGTTGATCAGTTTTGCCATCCTGCTAGGCTTAAAAGAGAAACAATTCCAGAGCAGAGAGAGGATCTCACCACCACCAAATAAGAATGGCCAAGAGTGGAGCATGTCTTTGGACCTGGGATCCCTGCACTGAAAAGCTCTTGTTACCAGGAGACTGAGAGAGGGAGAGGGAGAGAGCTGTAACGCAAGACAGTGAGAAGCAGTGACCGAGAAACAGTGGTAGGAGGGACCAACAGAAGACTGTGTGGTGGGCTTCCCAACCCACAGAGTGAGAAAGCTGAGTGCCTTTGGGCAGTAAGCTTGCTGGCAGAGTAGGGTGCTTCTAGGAACTTGATGGAGCTAGGTTTGCCAACCCACAGAGCTAGAGCTGAGCACCTTTGGGCCGATGCTTACCGGTGGAGTTGGGTGCCTGCAGGCACTTATTTCAAGAGCTAACAGAGCTTTGTAACACTTGCCCTGAGCAGGGCAGAGGTCCAGGGCCAGGGTGAAGCCTGCCTGTGAGCACAGCTGTCCTGATGGAAGAATTGTATCCTGAGCATTCCTCAGCCTGAATTGTAACCTATTACTTCCCTAATAAAGTAAATCCCATAATCGTATTGTCTGTGAGTTCTGTGTGGCCATGGCAATGAATTATTCAACCCAGCAGAGAAGGGAGAGTACTGTGGGAGGGAGAGTTGGTGTCAAAATTGGTAAAGATGGCGGAGAGAGGAGGCATGTCTGACCTCCGCCTCATAGGAATCTATTTTGTGCTGTTAATCTTGATTCTTCTTCCCCCTTCTGAAGTCAGAAGTCAGACATCATCCCCATACCATTTTTACAGCACCCACAGGTCTACTTCTTGTAAGAATTCACTAATAGCAATGCCCATAAAAATGACAATAACTGATATTTATTGAGCTTACACAATGTTCCAGACACACTTTCAAAGAGTTTACCCGTACTAGACTCATTTCAATCACAACAGCAATGTTTATTGAGCGTGATTATCTCCATTTTACAAATAATGCACAGTGGTAATAAGTACTTTGCTCAGTGTCTCACAGAGAGTAAAGAGGTGAGGATGGTAGTGGTGACAGGTAGAATGTGGACCATGACTAAAGGTGTTCCCACATGTGTTACATTATCAGGGTGATTCTCTAGAACGAACCACCTGAAATCCATCAAGGATTGAACGTACTGGAGTGTTTCTATGCATTCATTAAACTAACCTATTCCAGTAAAAAATCCTTTACACTGAGTGTGTTGTGATCATGAAGAAAATGTGATTTCTCCATTCTCCAAATTTGCCTCTAATATGGCTGCTCTGATGCTCTGTAAACTGAAGAGTGACCAGTGAATTATGTCATAAATTTTCCTCATGTTGAGGAAGGCATGATGGTTGTATAGGAGTGTTCTGACACTCTTAGTATGCAAAAGGTTTTTCACCAGGATGAATTTTCCGATGTTCTCTAAGTTGGCTTCCATTACTGAATGTCTTCCCACATTCCTTACGTTCATTGTGTTTCTCACCAGTATGAGTTTTCTGATCCTGTGTCAGCTGATGGTGATGACAAAAGACCTTCTCACATTCATTACATTTATAGGGTATCTTAACCTGTATGGATTCTCTCATGTTTAACAAGGCTTGACCGATAAATAAAGACCTTCACAATTCCTTACATTTATAAGGTGTTTCACCAGTATGGATTCTCTCATGCTGAGTAAGGTGATAGCCACTGTTAAAGCCCTTCCCACATTCTATACACTTACATGGCTTCTTACCTGTATGGATTCTCCCATGTTTGACAAGCCTTGAACCTCAATGAGAGGCCTTCCCACATTCCTTACACTCATGAGAATTTTCCCCCGTTTGAATTTTCTGATGTTGAGTAAGATAATTTATGTGTTTAAAAAGCCTTGCCACATTCTTGGCATTCAAAGGGCTTTTCACCAGTATGAATTCTTTTATGTTGAATGAGGCTTGAACCACAAATAAAGGCCTTCCCACAATCTTTACATTCATAAAGTTTCTTATCACTATGAATTCTCTTGTGTTGAATGAGTTTATACACACGGCTAAAGGTCTTGCCACAGTGTTTACATTCACAGTCTTTCTCACCAGTGTGACTCTCTGATGTTGAGTCTATTGCCACACCTAAAGGCCTTCCCACAGTCTTTACATTCATAGGGTTTCTCACTGGTCTGAATTCTCTTACGAATCACAAGGCTTGAGCCCCACTGAAAGGCCTTCTCACAATCCTTACATTCTTAAGTTTCCTCACCAATATGGATTTCCTGATGTTGAGTAAGTTGATTGCCCCAACGAAAGGCCTTCTTACAGTCCTCAATCTTCCCCTGGCTAGGAGAGTCTCAGCGCAGGGACCCCAGGCCCAAAGGACGCACTTTGCTCCTGGCACTACTTTCTGGTGGTATGAGGTCCCCATGTCTCTCTGTTCGATTTTCTCTTTTATATCTCAAAAGAGATTGGCTTAAGACACAACTAAGCTTGTAGATTGAGTCCTGCCTCATTAACATAACTGCCAATAATTCCACCTCATTAACATCACAGAGGCAGGATTTATACCACATAGAACAATCATATCAGATGACAAAATGGACAGTCATACAATACTGGGAATCATGAACTAGTCAAGTTGACACATTTTTTGGGGGACACAATTAAATCCATAACTCAAAAGCAACAAAAAAGACAATATGTAGTATTAAACTTAAGAAATGTGAAACACCTATGAGGACAAATTTAGAATAATTTGTGTATCAAGAAGGACACTAACTGCAATGGAAGGAAAAAACATCAAACATATTTAAATCCATTAGTTCATGATGACCAACTTTGGAACATGCTAGGAAAAAAAACAGTTGCCGTTGAGTTCATTCCAACTCATGTGTGTCAAAGTAGACTGTGCTCCATCTGGTTTTCAATGGCTGATTTTTTTTCAGAAGTAGATCACCAGG